CGTCGGTGTTAGCAGTTATTATTGCTGTTGGGGTGGTGATTAATCATGATTGCCATCATCATTCGCGTTGCCATGCTTTTGCAAAATATAGCCATTTATATTCTAGTTGAGGACTTAACAGAGGGAAAGCAACAAATTTAATTTCTCGCCACAAGATGCTGCCCAGGGTCAGCCATGCGTGACTTTTGGACTTCTTGGCGAAGGAACCACATAGGTTTGTTACTGCCATTGAGTTAAATTCTTCTAGGACCCAGAAAGGGAGCACTTCTGTAGTTTTGTTCCTTCCTTCTCTGCAAGGATCTTTAGCCCATTTGTAAGGATCTTTAGCCCATTTGTAAGGATCTTTAGCCCATTGCCATGAAAATCTTCTAGATGGTGTAGGACAGCTGGACCGATCGGACGGCTGAGGAATGACATCCAGCATTCTTAAAAGGAATTGAGAACAAATGAACATCTAGCGAACTAATAGGAAGCAGAAATGGGCTAAACATTTTTTTAAATGATAAGGCCAGAGTGAAAAACAAATACCAAAATATTTTCTAAACTGAATCAAAACCAAACTAATATCTATTTGTTTTGTTCCAAGCCCCTGGATTGTGGATTTGACTCAGGAAAGGGCTTCAGCAGCATCATCTCAGTTCACCTTTCTCCCTTGGGATACAGGCCCTGGAACGCGGCAGTCACAGGGGGGTGTGTGTGATGGGAGGGGTGAGGGGGTGCCGTTCACAGGCCACCGCAGGACCCGCGGCCTTTATCAGTCTGGGCGCAGAGCATCGCCTGGTGCCTGCTTGGTGCCCCCAGCAGCCTGAGCGCTTCAGATAGGCCGTCTCTAAGGATCTGCCGTCTGTCGGAGTGGAAAAGTTTTCCAGTTGATTAGAAACAAATTCTAAATCCAGCATCCACAACTGTTTGTTTTGCAAATGAGGTAACTGTAAGAAAATGCAGTCAACAAAACTGACACAGTCCCTGCTCCGTGTGGCCACGGGCCCTGGGAAGCTGGTTGGAGTTCGGTCCCTCCCTTCCTGGCCTGTAAGCAGGACTCGCTCAGGAGATCTCAGGCTGACACAGCTTTCGTGTGTGTGTGTGTGTGTGTGTGTGTGTGTGTATTTTTTAATTCAAATTTTGTTCTTCAGCTCCAAAATTTCCATTCGGTTCTTTTTTAAGTTGTCTCTTTGTTGAACTCACTCTGTTCTTGTATCGCTGTCCGGATTTCACTGAAGTGCTTGTGCTCTCTTGAGCTCTCTGTGCATCCTTACAGCGACTATTTCGAGTTCCTTGTTCGCGTATCTCTGTTTCGTGGGGGTCGGTTACTCGAGGTTTAATGTGCTCCTTTGGTGAGCCATGCTTCCCCGATTCCCCATGTCCCTGTAGCCTTGCATGGTCGGGAAAGGCCTTCGCTGTGAGTGGAGGCACGCTCGGGCCTGCTGTGTTCCTGAGTCCAGTGGTGCAGGACGCCAAGTGGGGGGCTTGCGGGGGCCTTGCTGTCTAGACATCAGGCGGCTGGGGTCCACACCGCTTGGTGAGCACAGCAGGGGAGCTGCAGAGGCTGGAAGGGCTGCTTCAGGTCAGCAGCTGGGGGCCGGAGGGGGCAGTGGTGATGGCCAGAGCTGGTGGTGTGCTTGTGCTTGGCTGCAGGGCCAGCTGTAGATGCCTGGGTCGTGCAGTGGCAGGGGACAGTTGCAGACACATTTAGTGGCGAGAGCCAGGACTAGCAGCAAGGACTGGGGCTGACTGCAGGTGCACGAGCAGCTTCGGGGCCCCTAACTGTCAGGCACACTCCTGTGGCTTCAGGGCCTCACCACAGGTGTGCCCAGCTCCACAGCGTGTTGGGAGTTGAGCCAGTGGGGTGCGGGTGCACAGCTGGAGTGGCTGGTTGAAGGGGATCCCAGTGGTACAGGCTAGCGACAGGAGTCAAGGCTGGACCGAGCCAGCAGTGGCGTGGAGGCCCTAGCCCTTGGGGTGTGCTGCTGCAGCTTAATTAAAATTTGACAACCAGCATTATCAAAAAGCCATTTCTGATGCCCAGCCTACGTTTACCTCGGTCTATTGCTTCTTTGCCCCATTCTCTGCACTAACAGAAGCTGCTCACTGCTACTAGCAGGTTCCCTTTGCACTTTGCTCTCGCTCACGCTATGTTTGTTCAGGGGGCTAGGAATTCCACCACCTTCTGCAAACCACAGGGAGACACATTTTTAGACAGTGAGAGGGGGACCCGTGGGATTTGTCACGTAACAAACGTCGCAGAAGTTGCCTCTCTTGCTTATCGCTTGCTCGTTGATTGATTAGCTCAGATCCTCTGAAGGAAGAGATGGCTATCCATTTCTAATGATTATATTAATATCACATAATTCCACAAATCCCTTTGCTGACCATATCCAAAGAGTTAATGTGTAAAAGTTTGGAGAGGATTACAATCACTGTGCTTCACAGCTGGTCTGATTTCTTCATTCTAGGCATATGTAATGAAGAAAATATTTGCTAACATTTGGGTGCTGATGGTGTGCCAAGCACTGATCAAAGCTTTCTGCCACAATCCCACTAACAACAGACCCTTTTTAGAGATGAGAAAACTGAGGCTCAGAAAGTTTAAGTAACTTGCCAACGTTAATACATTTAAGAACTGGCAGAGCCTCCTGCCTGACAAACTCCCATGGGGCCCATAGCACAGGAGGGCCACTTGGCCTTGGCTTTGGCCTTAGCCTTGCCTGGAAGGCCTTACATTTAGATATTTGACAGAGAACTGAAAGAAGTCTGTCATACAGCTTGGACCACACTGTCCTCAGTATCCTGCGGAGACACACACACACACACACACACACACACACACACTCTTCATTTTTGTATATGTTAAATTCTTGAGTTAGGCAAACATAAACATTTAAAATATACCATAGTTTTGAAACCCCATTTTGATATTTCTTCATTTTGCAGCACACAGAGAGTCTCATCAATGAAACTGGCCTGGCCATGTCATGACATGGAGAATCAGGATTAGGAGGGAAACTGAGAGACTGCCTTGTCCAGCTTCTTCATTTCATACGTGAGGAAATGGAGACACAGAGGTGTTGAGTAAGCTCCCCAAGGTCACACAGCTAGAGTGCCCTTCTCCCCTGTGCTCTGTCCTGCACCCGCTGCTGCTGCTAGCTCCCGAGCTCATGCTTCCAAACAAGCCAGGAGAGAAGTTACACGTGTGGACACAAGCAGCAGGACCATTGCGGGGCCTGGGAAGCATTCATTTGAAGGCCAAGAGCTTCTTGCGATGTAACCATTTTGTGAATATGTGCAGAAAAAGATTCCATTTCTATAGAACTTCTCACATTTCAAAACCTTTTTTGGAACCGAGAATCAATATTGAGCCTCATGACCACCCTGGGAGTGGTGTGCGTGCAGGCATCGCTATTTCTGTCTTTCAGATGGGGGAAAAAAGTGAAGAAATGTTGCACACCTTTCCCAAGGTAGCACAGCCGGGTAGTGGCAGGGCTGTTCCTGCGATTAGGACTCCCGGCTGCGGCAGCCGGGAACACGCTGCTTCCCTGTCACCCCCCGGCCCATGGGAATCGCAGAGGACAGCCTCCCGGTTTTGTTTTCCTGGAGCTAGTCATACACCACTTTCAAACCCAGTGCATTTCCTCTGAAAGAAACTATTCCTCCTGTGATCAGTAACTTAGGAAAAAAGATAATTAGACCTTCTAAACTACATTCATAAAGTAAACACTATTTCAGGGTAGATATTAAGCATTTCCAATGTTTCTAAAGTGTTTCCTTTCAATGACAAGGTGTAAGATATATCTAAATGAAGCTCAGCCTGGGAAACCATCATATTGCAATTAAAAATGCAGCCCTCAGAGTCTTGCAATTCTCTGTCTAAAGCCCTTTCACAAAAGAGGGTATTTTAATTCAATAAATAAAAGGCAGGCACTTCCAGCTTGCCTCCCAGTGCACAGCTACCGCTCACAGCTGACACACACAACAGAGAAAATACACAGGCATTTGATCTCGCCTTGCTGCAGGGTGTTTTCCTCTTTCAAGAGACCGAGGGAAAAACAACCTCAGGACTTGACCGCCAAGGCTTCCAGATTTGTTGCAACACAACGCAATGGCAACGTGTTATTTTCTTAGCGCTCGCATTTTTTAATAACCACCATGGCCAAGAATGCCTGGCTTTATTTTGACAATAAACCCAAAGAAAATCTTGAATTCCACTCTCGATTTGGAGTGGATTTAAAAGATGCCATGGGTCGCTCAGAGCAAACCATCGAGTCTAATGATTCAATCATATCCTCTCTGTTTAATCTGAACTCGAGGCATTTATTTCACGTTTATACTGGTTTGACACTAATCGTGCTTAAAAGAGACTTCCCACCCTGTTTTCCTCTGCAGAGTTGAGCTACAATAGTGGGCTTAACAATGCCAGCCCTCTCCCGGGCTTATCAGTGAAAAAGCCTTCAGCCTGAGAAAACCCTTCCAGGGTAAACAAGACACAGAGTGCACTTAGAGCCACATTACACCCAGATCCATCTGAATAGAGAAGCACAGATCCACGAGGAATTATTTCCCTTTTAATTTAGCACCAGCGTGCCCATTTCTCATGCTGCTACTGATATGTTGTTCTGAGCAATTTGGTGCATTGCTACCATAGTTCATAAAGGAAGCAAAGAATAAAAAAGCCTTAAATGTACTTTAAAGTTCTACACAAATGTCATAGTTTTCAACTCACTTTAATTATAATTAAGTTGGCTTAAAGATACAGTGAAAATCTTGTTCTAAACTTATCTTAGTCCAGTTTATTTATAGTCGACACACCTAATATTAGTTGTTTACAAGGATGTCAACTACCACCCACTCCCAGCTCAGTTTTCTTGAGACCGAAATTTATACAGAACTGATTACTTGGTCAAGGTATGTGTTGTAGTTTCTTAATGATGAATACATTTTAAGGTTTTCATAATAAGGAATGGAAAGCAAACTAGCTGCATCACTTGACAATTCATCAGACATACCTTGTTTGAAGACAGCAATTTTTTTTCCCAAGACGTTTCCACCACACGGAATGGATATCCTTTCTCCTTAAGCTTTTCTGCATCACAAATCCCATCCAAATTATTCTCAAGCAGAATCAAGAGGTCCAAGCACCTTTTCTTCTCAGAGGAGCTAATCAAACGTTCCCATCAACCTCTCAGCACTTTGAAAAGCACATTTTA